TTGAAATTATTCTTAAAAATAAGAGTAGCAAATAATTTTTTAACAGGTATACAAATCTAAAATATTCTTTACTATAGCTGTCTAGTAGGAAAATAGTGAGTTTTAGCCACTTAAATTTAGATGAAGATCAGTATATCTGTGCTTTTTATCTCATTCATTGGTTCAAGATAAAATGCAGGGCACTTTGTTCCTTTTATAACTTGATAATTTACAAGACGATCTCATTGGTTGACAAGGTTTCTGTGGATAAGAAGCATCTATGTTTAATTTTAATCCTGTACAATTTTGGTCTCTAACCCTTACTTCACTTCTCATTCTTCAGTTTAGGATGTAACTGAAAATGACAGTGGTGCCTTCGTTTAACTAATTGTTGAAGTCTGAACGGAATGTGCATAAGTGAGCCATTTTGGCAGTGAGTGGAGAAGAAAAGCACACTTTTCTCATTAGTTTAGAAGTCTTCCAGGCTAAAATTAAACAGAATAATGTATTGCCAAATTTTAGTGATTTATGGGGGATCTGTTCTGAGTCAACTCAGTATCACACTAATTGTCTGCACACTAATGTGTCAGAACTTGTGTGTTATTTTTAAAGCCAATATATCAGAAATTGAGGATAATATGAAAATATGCCTTTATATTTTCAGTTATCTCTAATTATAATTTCAAGTAAATTCACATTAAATTAGGACTTTTCATAGGACTCACTTAATATTCATAAAGTTCAAGCCTGGTTGCAAGTTGTTTAGTCATTTTTGTGTAATGTAATCATATAATGAATGTCAAAGTATTTTTTTCATTATAATAAAATAAGTCTTTTAAGATTAAATTTCCATGTCAAAATATTTATTATATTTTTTTCTTTATCCTTTCTCTAAAATTTCAGTTAAAAAGGTAAGCTAATAGCTTATTGAGCAAGTTTTAAAAATTGTACTCAACACCTTTAGTTTTTGGCACATCTGAACAGACTTAAAATATAACTTGCCCAACGGAGAGAGTGTCTGTAATTTCCTTCTCCTTTGTCTTTTGCAGTTTGCATACTTATAAATTTATGTACTGTTCTAAAGGCTTTTTGGTGTATTTTTCATCATAATTTAAAAAGAAGTTTGTATGTGGCTTGTATTTGAGTGTATAATATTAGAACAAAACTTATCTTGATTTATTTATTTCAGAATATCTGCTTTCTTCTTTGTTACATTTTAAATATTACATTTTGTGCAAACAAAAGAATATATGTAATGTGTAACTTCTTAAGTAAAATCATATAATAAATACCATTAACTATATGCAAAGAAGCGGATTTTCAATTTATTTCCTTTTTTGTTCCCCAGGTGATCTTTTGCATTTGGGGTGCTTTTCTGAACTTCTTTTCCTCTTGTGTTTTGTAGCTGCTGATGCTTTTGTTTTGTTTTGTTGTAGGTCTATTTTTAGTTATGTAGTTTGGGTACATTGGGCTTCTTCATTTGAGTCTTACTGTCTTCCAACAGTTCTGTAAAATTTTCAGCTATTATCTTTTTAACAATATTGCTTCTTCCCCATTTCTTACTATGTCCCTCTGGAATCTAATTAGACATATGTTTGTTTTCTTTCTCAGTCCTCATATCTCTTAACCTCATTTTAATCATCTTCTTTCATTTTCTATCTCAGATACATTCTGAATGATCTCATTGTACTTATTCCATTTCACTGATTTTCTCTTTATCTGTTGTTTAACCTGTCCAGTGAGTTTTTTTACTTCAGCAGTTAAATCTGTTATTTCTATAATTTCCATTTTTCTTTAAAATGTGTTCTTTGCTGATACTTTCTCATTGTTTGTTTCTCTTCATCATTTCATACTTTTGTTTTGTAAACATTTTGTATACAGGTGTTTTATGTTCCATATTCAAATATCCTTAGTGCTTAAAGGTCTACATTAGTTGTTTGTTGATTTTTCTGAGTCTCACTCAGTTTCTTGCTTTCCACAGTGCTTGCCGATTTTTTGTTACAGGAACCATACACAGACCTTAATTTGTGGCTGTTACTTGACAATGAATTGGAGAAATTTTTGGAGAGAAATTTTTATTCTGCTTTTTTGCTAGAGGGATATGCCTCAGCAAGAAAACCAAAGTCTCATCCAACTTTCTTCTTTGTTATCCACAGTTCAAGAATTCCAATTATATTCTTTTTCATGGAAAATGCACCTACTTTTTTAATGTTCCCTTTTCAAGAGGCAACTTGTATCAGATCTTTCAGTAATTAATTTGGTGTTTACTTCCATATTTTTAAATGAGCTTTTCTTTCTCTTTGTTCATTTTAGAGTATTATTTATTGATGTCCTGTGGAAATAGTAATTGGCTTTGCCAGCTTTCACCCTCTCCAACTCCCACTACACATTTGTCTTACACACCCATACTCCCACTGTTGTTATATCCTAAGTTTCATTAATCAATTCATTTATTTTTTCAGAATTTACATAGTCCTGTCTATAAATATTATTCATGGCACAGTCATGTTGTATCCTATGATTAGTTATCTTTTCCTTTATAACATTGGTTTTTCCTGTATTTAAGAATCGTTCATTGTTGTCACTAACTTTTCCCTGTACCTGTCCCTAATTCACAGCTGTCCCTCTGGCGGTTCCCAGCACTCTTCTCCTGTGTTGGATCCTTTGTCTTCTGGATTCCAGTGCCTTCCTTTATGTAATTCCTTCTTTTACTCTATTGTTAATTAATCATCTGTTGTTTGTGGTGTCTTGAATTTTTATGTGATACTAATTATGAAACAAATTATACTGCAGTGGGCTCATGTGACAGGAAGGAATTTATAGTGATTTAAATCTAATTGTAATTTCATTTATATGGATTTTAGAAAAGTATTTTAACCTTTAAGGTTTAACTATATATTCTTGAATTTAAATAAATTTTTAAAGCCCTTTGTTTAAATGTGTTCAACTCATTTTTTTGCAATAAAACTTTTTTAATAAAGGATTTTTCATATTTGGGGGCAAATTCTGTTTCTCACATAACATTTTTGTACAGAAAAAACTATAAAAACATTATTCAAACTAACTCTTGTACACTGTAATACTGTATTTTTTAGTTTTGGGAGATGATTGATAGAGCTGCTGGAAATGTTTGAAAACTGCATATAATTTTGGGGAAGTCTTATCTTTATTTCTTTTAATATAAGATAGTATTTTAAAGCCTTTATTCTAGCGGCATTTGAGAAATAGAAGAATTTAGGTCCATATGAGGAATTTGCACTCTATTACAGGAAAAAATATATATTAAATCGTATTTTCCCATTGACCTGAATTTTGACTCCCAGTTTGTAATCATCTTGTGTTTAGCTTCTCTCTATCATTCCTTCCTGTGTGTGTTTCAGTGAATCATTGTTTACCAGCACTTGCATTAGTACATGGAAGGTGGTATTGCATCTGTTCTCTCAGCATGCTGCCTAGGGATCTGATTCTGGGTCTGTGGGAGAAGCAGTGCTATAAGGTGGAACCAGGAGTCTACATGAAAAATTTTGCTTTTGAAAATTCTGTGAAAAGCCTTGAAAAACAGAAATTTCTCTTTCTCTTGCTTCCCCTTCTGTATCTTTCTATCTCTATCCCGGTGTGATTCACTTTTCTTAGGACTTGGTATTAACAATACTTTTATTTATACTAATTGTTCCAGTTGTTTAAATAATTTGCAAGATTAAAGAACAAATGGGCTTTTTTTTTAATAGCTATCCTGAGAACCTATCTATTATTTATTGTGACTTTTTTTCAGCTCCTACCCTATGGCAAGTACTTTTCTAGATGCTGGAGACAGAGTTCAGAGCAAAACTGACAGATACTCCTTCCTTCATATTCTGAGTTTCCTAGTGGAGCTAGTAATACTTTTATTGAAAAATATAGATAGAAATGCAGAAACATATGGATGTAAATAACCTGCGTGTAAATTAAGAATGGGATATCCTGCTTTAGTTGAGTCAACGTGAGCTATATCAAAGGGGCAAAAATATTTTAGCTAGTAGGATGAAATTGCAACTTATTACACTTCAGCTTATGTTTTATATCCGAATGTTAGCCTGCATTTCATCTAGGCAGCCACTTCTCTTTGTTAATGAACAATTAGCTGTAATTAACAATGATTTATTGAGTCGTTATAAAATGCTTCCTTTCGCATCATGAATTAGTCCTGTAATATAAACAAAAAGGAGATAATATTCCATTGGCATGGTCGTTTTTGAAATTATTTGCCTAGAAATTAAGCTTAGTATTTTTTAGACAAATTCACTTTTAATGAGATATAATTCACATTTCATAAAATTGATTATTTTAAAGTGCATAGTTTAGTGGTTTGTATCCATTTTCAAAGTTGTGCAACAAACACCATTTTCTAATTCCAGAATATTTCATCACTTACAAAAGAACCACATAGCAGCTATTTCCCATTCTACTCTCTCCCTGGGCCCTGGCATCCACTCATCGATGGTTTTGTCTGTTCCAGCCATTTCATATAAATGGAATTACATAATATGTGGTTATCTGCGACTGGCTTCTTACATTAGCATGCTTTCAAGGCTTATCCATGTTTCAGCATGTGTCAGTACTTCATTCCTTTTTATGGATAATTTTCCATTGCATGGCTGTATCACATATTGTTTATTCAACAATTTGTGAACATTGATGTACCTACTTTTTAGCTACTGTGAGTAATGCTGCTTTGAAAATTTGTGTACAAGATTTTCTGTGGACATATGATTTAAATTCTGTTGGTATATACATAGGAATAGAATTATTGGGCCATATTGTAATTGTATGTTTCACTTCTTGAGGAAATGCCACACTGTTTTCCAGAGCATTTGTACCATTTTACATTCCACTGGCAATGTATAAGGGTTTGAGTTTCTCTCCATCTTTGTCAACACTTGTTATTGTTTGTCTTTCATTGTAGCTATACTAATTGATTTGAAGTGATAATTAAGCTTATTTTTTATGAGGATTAATAACAATTTAAAATCTTTTTTTTTTAGGTGCTGTTCTTCTTTGTAGTATACAAGGACTAGCAGTTAATATTGACCCAGTCTTATATACTTGGCTCACTTATCAACCTCAGAAACGAGCCAATAGACATATGCAGCAGGTGAGAAATATATATAATTTACTCCTACTGAATAAATCTTTTTCTCTATTTATTAGAGTTATATATTTCCTCTATTTTATTTATGGATATATCAGAATTCCTCTGTCCCCCACTCCACCCCTTTCAGGCAATTCCATTCCTTAATTTCTGTACAGGAAATTACAGCTCAAAGTACAATTTCATTAACTATTAAAGTAGATTTCTGTACAATTAGTTGTAGATACATTAGGGAGACTATCTTAGGTAATCCTATTTTACTGGCCCGTTTTCTTTCATAGTGCCTTGATGTTTGTTCTCAGAGTATCTGCTATATAAGAATGGCTTAGTAAATATTAGCTTTCATTTTCATTATCTCTGTATTTCTTCTTTATCCTTAGGCTTATTCAGCAAATATGCATTAAGTGCCTAACCCTGGGATTGAGATGGCTGGTCCAAAAGAGTTGGGATATGTGTTTATTTAAAAGAGTATAAATTACAAAGTAAAAAGTAGCTAATTGTAGTTTCTAGAATACTTAAGTATAATTCTCTGTGTCATGATACTAAAATGTAGTTCTGACAGATGAATTTAACATCCCCTTTTAAAGATAAAGAAACTGATGCTTATTGATGTTTACTTACCTGTTGTCACACATCTAATAAATGGCAGAACTAAGAATTTTTGAGGCCAAATTTATGCTATATTGAATTGCATTTTCACACTGACTTAATTGCAATTTTGTATTCTACTTGAAATAGCTTGGAATATTTTTTCTGAATTAACTTAAAGGTGGCTGATAAAAAACACAATTTTGTAATTACATAAGAATATTAAAGTTAACTAGAAAATACAACTCATGTCTCAAGGAGCATCTTTTAAAGGTTTTTTTCATTTTGTTCTAATTGCATTTGAAACTTCTGCCATCTCTCCCCTATTTCATTCTTCCTTTTATCAAATAGTTACAGAATATGAGGCAGTATGCTAGATACTAGGGTTACAGAAATAAAAGTTATTGAGAATATTCTTCTCAAGGTATTTAGTGTATTTGACAATATGCAGGAGTAAAGTTATGCTATTCTTAGTAATTACAACATTAGATGTATGTACAGGATTATGTGTAAACAAAATAATGTCATTCTGATGAGCAGATGAGGATGTTAAAAGGAGGAATTTATAATTGAGCTGAGTATCATAGGAGTAGAAAAGACACGGCGTTGTTGTAGATCAAATTATGTGAGTATTGGCCAAGAAGATGCAGTAACATGGTAAGAAAAGAATGTTCAGTGTTTCTAGATTAAAGCCAAAATTCTTAAAGAGAATGGTAGAAGTCTAAAACCAATCCCTAAAAAATTTTATTTGTAATTCCAATTGTTTGAGACTTTATCCTGAAGCCATAAAGAAGTATAGGAAACTGATATAGATTTGTATTTTAGAAAGTTTACTGTAACAATGTAGAATATAGTGATGGAAAAGTAAAACTAATGGCAAGGACCATTTGAGAAAGATTTTGGCTGTAGATATTTTTTAAATTGAGAAATAATTAACATATAACTATATTTTCAGGTGTACACTGATTTGTTATATGTATATTACAAAATGTTCACCACAATAAGTCTAACATAGGTCACTGCACATAATTACAAATATTCTTTTCCTCTGGTGATGAGAACTTTTAAGATCTACTCTGTTAGCAACATTCAATATTTGAATGCAGTAATAATACAGTATTATTAACTGTAATCACCATACTGTACATTGTATCCCATGACTTACTTGTTTATAACCTTTTATATTTTTTAATATTTGTATTAATTTTTACACTATGTATTTGATAATTTTATAAGATTGTACCTTTTTATCACCTTCATCCATTCCACCCCCATCTTCTGAGTTCAGTTTTTGTTGTTGTTATTGTTCTACATAGATAAGCTAATATGTCATTTTTCTTCCTCTGTCTTATTTCACTTAGCATAATGCCTTAAAGGTTTACCCAAGTTGTCACAAATAGCAAGATTCTCTTTTTTATGGCTTAATAATATTCCACTGTGCTATTAAGTCTTCACTGGTTATTTTATAAATGATGCAGTTATCTCCAGTACACCACAGATATTTCTGAAAATCAAGTGTTCTAGCAGTTTAAGTGATTTAGACATTCATATATTAGAACATCTATATATATTTTTCCAAAACAAATGTTATGTATATATGTGTGTTTGTATATACATTTCAACAACCCTTGAAATATATATGCATATGCATATATATATATGTTATGTGTATATATGTATGTATATTTATATATATGTATGTGTATTTTAAGGGTTGTTTTGGAAGAATATGCATATGTGCTGTCATATTGCATTATCCTTGGGAAATTAGTTATTTTGTAAATATAATTTGAGACATCTAAATTAAGACCTATTGTGTATATGTATTTTAAAGATTGTTCTAATATACACATATGTATGTATGCATATTTTAAGGGTTGTTTTGTAAAAATATACATTGATGCTCTCATATTGCATCTATCTATACAGTGTGTGTGAGTGTAAGTAAATATAGGTGTGAGAAATTAATTTGATGGATTGTGTCAGATCAGAATTGTAATTGATTCTGGGAGGAATGGGTATTGATTAACAGTCAGGTTTTAGCTTTATCTTTAATGTTTATCTCCTTTTAAAAAAGGAAGCAAATATGATAAAAATGTTAATAGCCAGTAATTATTGGAAATAATAGGATTATGGTTGTCATTTTATTCTTTATAATTTCCTCTATTTTACATTTATTAAATTAACAAATTAAAGGAAGGAAAATTTTATACGAAGAGGGACAAAGGCTTGGGTATTTAGGGGTGATGAGATACTGATTGGACAAGGATGGGACAGATCTAGAGCAATATCCAGTATCAGAAGGTAGAAAAATTTAGAGCAATGGGAGGTTTCTTAAACTAAATAATGCTTGATGTTTTTGACTTGGGTAGCTATTATTTACAGGAAAGTGGAGGGATCACTCATCTTCCTTATCCAGTATCTCTTCATGCCTGATATGTAGCACCTTTATTAGCGATCATTCAGCAAATATTTATGGAGTTTCTGTTGGATTTGTAGGTATTGCAGTACTGCTGTGTTGAAGGCATACAAGAGACTTGCTCTCTTTGTTAGAAAGGGTTTTTGTTTGACTTTTTAAGGTATTTCTACCCATGTGAAAATGCATCCAGGGTTTCAGCCATCAAAAGAAAAATTTTCTTTGTTGTTAGGCAATACTAATACCATGGCCTTCATTGATCTCATTTTTCAGCTATTGTGCTAGAATTCAGTATCATACTATGCAGCACACAATTTTCCTCTGATTATTTATTATTTATTAATTTTGATTCTGAACTTGGTTGTAATTTCTTAGGCTGCTTGGACACATTCCAGATGTATAAATGATAGCCAAAAATTTTAAGTCACTAAATATAGGAGGATAAAGGAGTGCTTCAGTATATATCTTCACCCCCTTATTTTATAGTTGAGGAATTTTAAATGAATGAAAACTTACAATATGCCAAGCATTTTTTACCTAGGTCTTAAATACCATCAGTTTTACTAACTACTTAATATGAAGGCAGATATTCTATATTGTGATGTTTACAATATATTTAAGGTATTAATTTTATCACTATCATCTTTCTTGTTTTTTACTCAGCCTAAGTAGTAACTTGTAAAATAATTTGCCTTTCCCTATCTCATAACTTCATTGATTATATTACTTAGTTTTATAATGTACATGTTCACATTGAGGTATTTATTTACAATCTAAGTAATATTAAATAAGTATTTTAAGTTGAGTGAGGCTTAAAGTTGGTTCTGTAAAAGTGTGGCTGTGGTGGTGTTGAGGGTAACATTAGACTTCACTACAGCCTAATCAGCTCCTCCAGATTCATCATCTCATGTAGCTAGCTGTATTACCGTTGTCACCTGTTGTTTCCCAAATTGCAATTTCCTTCTCAGTTTGTGGCTAAACCAAAATTTGATGATTGTTTTCCACCCAATTCAACATTGATCTTTGATCCTGCACCAAATTTAAAAATACCTTTTTTTTTTTTTTACCAAAAATCTGATGAGATTTTATGGGCGTCATCGACAGTAACATCAGACTTTATGTCAGCGAATAAAGATGAAAACAGCTGCTTTATTGTCCAACTCAGCACTCATGCATTCAATATAGGATCATAATGTTTTCCAGCTTTCTTTAACTATCGATATTTTTCTATGCTTTCTACATATGTTGTGGGTATCTCTTTGTCCAGTAATTCCTAAAAAGATTGGTCTGTCCATATTAACAAGTAAATAGTCAGGTTATAGAAATATATCCTTAAAAAATACAATTGTATGAGGATATTTTACTTTCTAGTAATAATTTTCATTGTTTTATTTTTGATTTGCTATCACCATGTTGTCTTATACTTCTGACTAAAATTTGAATTTTAATTATTTCTAGGCTCTTGGTTTTCACAAAGAATTGTAATTTCAAATTTAAATTAAGTGTCCCTGTGTGTGTTGTTGGAGAGACAGACGGAAACAAAAAGGGAGAAAAGAACTGAGGGAGAGATTGATTGACAGATTTAAAATAATAAAGCCTTAATCCCAATTTATGAAGAACTTTTGTCAGTGATGCCATGTTTAACATTCACTGCTTAAGAAACAGTAAATAAGTCAGTTTTTGATTTGACTTTCACCAGCAGCCTGTGGTAGCTGTTCCTCTTGTTATGCCAGTTTGCAGAAGGAAAGAAGATGAGGTGTCTGTTGGAAGTGCGCCCTTGGCAAAGCAACAATCATATCAGGCCTCTGAATATGCCAGCAGCCCTATAAAAACAAAAACAGTAACAGGTATGTGTCAAGAACTCTGTAAAGGGTCTGTGATTTTGCCTTGCCTCCAAGCTAAGAAGTTGTCAAGTTATTCAGACCACTATTTCATGAATGCTTGAAACTCCTAGAGTGGAGACAAATGACTTCATTATTACAGTGTAGGCAGTAAGCAGAATATTAGCATTTTCTTGTGTCCTTGTCCTAAGCCTCAATCTCACAAGATGGCACAAAGAAGGCCAGGTGATACCCATATACAGTGGATTATGCTTCAGGAGAGGAAACCTCATTGTTAGAGAACCTGAACCTCTTATTATGAGTAGTGAGTATGCCTGCAGTTTTCTCTAGAGGGGGACATGCTGTGTGTACCTTTCAAGACTTTAAGCAAACTTGCCCTTTACTCAGAATGAGGACAATATCTCTTTTTTGAGTTTGTACACTGTGCAAATATCCTTGAAAACACAATTGGGAACAAAGGCTTCTATTTGTAAGACATGCAAAGCACAGAAGACCCAGGAAGAATTGTCTCCCAATAGTATGTTCCTTCTTAAAGTGAATTCTTGCAAACCATAATACCTGTCAATCTTCCTCCCTCCTCTCACTTTCTTAACTAGATCATCTATGCAAATAGGAAACATAAATATTCTTCCATAAAACAATTCTTTCCTTTTGTGTAATAAAAAATGCTCTTTATCATTGTATTTTAAGTGGTATTTTTCCCTTTATCTTCAAATGTTTGTGATGATGGGCACCTGTCTTCAGGTGATTTTATATTTTTCTTCAATGTTCAGCTTTATTTCATATAACTCATATTCCCCCCCATGTTGAAAAAGATTTTATGTTTTTAATGAATCAAAAACTTACAGAATGTAATGGGCAAGACTCTATTGTAAATGATATTAAAGGTAGAATTATTAGTGAGACATCCCTGCCCTTGAGGAATTTAAAATATGTTCATATACAAAAGAAAGTTCAAAGTAACATTGAAGGAAAATTAGTATTTCCTTACCATATTTAATAACAATAATAAAAATGCTAATATACATTTTTGTGCCATTTTAAACATAACTATTACTAGTCTTTGCTCTATTATTTTTCTTAAAATATGATGTTATATATATGTAATCATTAGACTCCTGCCTGTCAGTGTCCATAAGCCTTTTACTTTGTTGACTTTTTTCATCAATTGACAAAAATACCTTTACATATTTTTTAATTTTTATTTATTTTTTTACTAAAGTATCATTGATATACAATCTTATGTTGGTTTCAAATATACAGCACAGTAGTTCAACAGTTTACCTATATTATTAAATCCTTCCACCCTCTAGTATGGTCTAGTAACATAATAAGATGTTACGGAATCATTAACTGTATTCCCCATGCTACTACCATCCCCATGACCACCTTCTATTGTGATTGTGAATTATTGTACCTATGCATACATTTTATATTGTAGGAAGATGATCTGTCAATGAGTGTTGAGTTTTTCATGTAAAATAAGTATTATTTCCTTTATAAACCATGCTAAGTTTTAGACTTTAGATTTCTTGAACTGGTAATTTACAGAAAGGTTTTTAAATATCATCTCTTAGTAAAATAAAACAAATGTCCACTATAGTGTCAATTGATAAAAATAAATTTAATCTTGTATGAATATTTGCCACATATTCTGATCTCCTGTTTTATTGTTAAATCCTATTCCTTAAATCACATTTGGTGATTGATTTACAATAATTAGGAGTAATGATGCAGAAAATGCTTATGTTTTAAATGAAATTACATAACAGAACTATACAGAAAATATGTTCATAGATTTTAGGATGCATTTTTTATGCATGGAGAAATTTTATATATAAATTCACCTGTTCTTTAAGTTGCATACCATCTCACAAATGATATCAGTTAATATCTAAGATTTATTTTGATTTCTTATACTTTACCATTTTTATAAGAAATTTAATTTTAGATTGAGTAAATCAGTTTGAAAACATAATTTGCATTACTTTTTACTTATAGGATATGAAGTTACATACAAACAATACCTTGTTCTTATTTCAAATTATAGATGTGAACTATAGGTCTTTGCTTTTTAAGTTGTGGGTATTTGCTTTTTCTGTCTTTCATGTTTCCCAATCTCTAGAACCCTTAGATTAGATATCCAATTGGTATCATTACAGGTAAGGACATCATTATTTCACCAAATATAGATTCATACTCAACCTAGCTTAACAGTTAACATTCTCAGTTAATGACCATACCTGACTTGTTTTGGGAGTGTGAGCATTTATAGAAGGTAAAAACACCTGGGTATAACATTTATTCTTTATGATTTACATGTCTTCCTCCTTAGATGTACCCCCATTTTTATTTTTTACTTGGTAGTAGTACTCTCTTTTCTTGAGAATGCTCTGTGCTATTTTCTTTACGTAGAATTAAGTTTCAAAAAATTATTATATTTAATTAGAGTTTGCAGTTCCTATTTTGATTTTAATTTAAGAACTGTTTTATGAGTCATTTGAATTTGTACCTACTTTTAAAGGGTTGTCACTGTTTTATTATTTACATTGTACTATAAACTGTAATGAATTTGATAAAGTGCTTTTCTGTTTTTGTTTTACCATTTTAACTTTTTTAAGCATGCAGTTTAGTAGTGTTAAGTACATTCACATTGTTGTGAAATGCACAGTTTACTTTTTAACTGAATTTTACAGTAGAGAAATAATAAATGTCTAAATTTTTGTTAAAATAATTTTTTAATTTTTACATTCTCAACTTAAAGCCCAATGTTGGTCTTAAGTTCATTCCCAACAAGTTATGTAATATTTTTGGCACATGAATACCAAAGCTTGGTGATATTACACTGGGCTTGATTTTGCTTTTTAATTATTCAACAAGAAGCAGACATCTTCCTCTCCCAGTCTCAATTAACCAATGTTAAGTAGCTGGCTGTAGGGGGAACATGTGCTTGATGGCTGGAAACGTGTTGACAGCAGAACAGCACTGTTTCAGTGGTACATAGACGCATAAGGCAGGCCAAGCCAGAAAAAAGCATGTTTCACATGAAGATAATATATTATCACAAAATTCTAAATAATGTTCTAGACAATCTGTTTATCCTTCAAAACAAGGAAACCTCTAAAAGCTATGATGACATCTGTTTACACTGTTTTGGGAATGTTACGAAAATTAATTTGGAACTCGTCGAAAATGTCTGCGATGGAAATGAAAACTTTAGAAAAGGAGGATACTAAATAAATGATAGATAATTCTTTAAAAACACTAGCCATTTTTTCTTACACTTATATATTCTCAAGTCTAAGGCATTATAGTGAGTACACAGTTAAAATAATAGAAGGTTTTTAATTTGAGTCCTCAAATGCTACCGAGATAATAATAAATTAAGAAGTGAAAATTAATGACATAAATTTCAGTAGATAATATTACAAATTAGAAGTTTGAAACTTTAGTTTCTAACCATGATGGACTAGATTTATATTCCGACTATAAATAACTAATAAATTGGTCAAAATATGTGAAAGAAAAATAAGTTTAGCCCTAGCATCACCCTGGCTTTATGCCTGAAGGCATATTCCAGGCTACAGAGCATGGTGGGTTATATGAAGCTGAGCTCCACTCTCTTGCTGAATTGAAGTTTGGGGAAGTAGAGGTATTGAAGTATAATAAAGCAGAGATGACTGGAAATAATGGGATAAAGTTCTAGGGAAAAAAAGCTATGCAATAAAAGAGCTCCAGAAATCAGCAGTAGAGTTCTCTTTGAGTATTTGCTGAATAGTAAGATGTGCATACACAGGATGAGACTCCACGAGGTTTGGCAAAGGATGACCAAGGAGCTGTGACCTGAATGATTCCCAGGGCTCACACAGGGCTGGGGGACATATTCACGCTCCTATTATCCATAGTATACAATATCCATTGATCATTCAGGACATTCAGTAGAGACCCCAGAAAGGCCATGCCTCAGTAGTGGAGCTAAACTATCCATAAAGCAAAGGCTATCCACCTTAAAATCCTTTAAAAAGAGCCTTTGAAGGAACTAAAACAGTGTAAGTTTACTGCTGGCAAAATGAATGTCATCAGCGTTAAGAGGAATACAGTAAGACCCAGACATGTCACAACTTAAAAATCACATGTCAAGCATTCAGTCAAAAACTAAGAGATGCAAGGAAACAGGAAACTGACCAGGAGAAAAACTAGTAATAGAAGTAAACTGACAAATGCCATAGATGATGGAATTAACATGTATATTAAATACTTGTGTATTAAAACAGGTATTATAACTGTATGTTCAGGTATTAAAGGAAAGGAAAGATGAATACATTTTGAAGGGAAATGAAAGATATAGAAAGAACCAGTCCTAACTCTAGAGATGAAAAATATAATATCTGAAATGAGAAACTCACTGAGTGGAATTAGCACATCTCGTCTGTAACGTCTTCTTCACAATAAACTTGACTCAGTGATAGAAACATGCCAAAATGAAGCACAAAGAAAACAAAGGGGAAAAATTATAGAGTTTTATTGAACTATGGAATGATAATTAGAGTAGTCAGGGTAAGGTAGGTCTCACTAAAAGTTTGTATTTGACCAGATAATTGAAGCAGATGAGGGAGTGAGACTTGTGGATATCTTAAGAAAAAACATGTAAGATTATATATATAACTATAAATGAGTTATCTAATAGAGCCCTTTTACTTTATATTAAAGGAGATTGAATCATAAAGAGGCCAAGGAACTTATCCAAAGTTAATGAGACTTGTTTTTAATGAAAACTCCAGATTATAATAGTCATTCTGTGATTATTAGTTGCCTTCTTTCATTCCTTACTGTCATAACCAGGTCTAAAAACCAGGTCTCCTCTGCAACTGCTATCCTCTCTCTAATATGTAATGTATAACCAACCAACTTCAGAGTGGTTTTTTTTTCTTTGTCAAAGAATCACTCTACATTTTCAGCCCAGTTTCATAGGACTAAGATAGTAAAGAATTTTGCATCAGAGCTAC